TCAAGGTCACAAAAACGTAAAAAATCAAGCGGAATCACTTTCAACACATAATTTTTAGTTCTTGTTTTCATATAAACGTAAAAAACCTCAAATAATTAAATAAAATTATCGAATATTGCCGTTTAGGTTCAATGTTGCCACTTTTCCGCATTTGTGATTATCCTACATTAATGGGAGACTATATAATTAATGGAGTAAGTTAATTTGTTACCTCTGATTTTAAATATTTTGGAAATTATAATAAAAACTACGTTTTAACTTTCATACAAAATAATTGATTATTCTTATATTAGTTTATTCATGAATTATCTATTAAATATATTTTATTACCCATTTTATATTAATAATTTTATATTATTTATAATTTCATATAAATTTTATATTAATTATATTTTATTATATACCTATTTTATATTGTTTGATTTATTAGAACCATAAAATTACGTTTTATTCCATCATTATGTTTACTTCTATTCATCTGATAAACTTTGTATCCCTTTTTTTCTAAGGGGACGTAATAAATATTTTAAAATAAAATATGCTTTTTTAATATAAAAACAATTAACTGAAGCTTAAAAAAAACTCATTTTTATTGCGTATATTAGGTAAAATTTCATATAGTAAGCCACACCAACCCGCCATTGCATGTTTGTGTGTCTATCTTTATCTAATCTTACGACGACGATATTGTTTTCGCAACTTGTGTAAGTGAGATAGATATATGTTTACTTAAAATTGTTATTAGTTTCAAAGCTACGTCGTCGCGTTTGGATAGTGGTTACACTTTTTTCGACGCGCGGTAATGTGATTTGCTCCTCTAGTGTTGTATAACTCAATGCTTTTCGAGGCACGGGTTGAAAAACCGCCAACTTTCTAAAACTGTGTTATTACTGAGAATATCTTGACAGAAAAAACCAATCACTGTTATACATAAAGATTTCCAATAGTCCGGAAATTCACAACAAAACCTGCACTACGGGCAGCTGGCACGGTTTATTGTATTTTCATTTACGATTGTGTAAATAATGCCAGCGTTTTTAAATACATTCAGTAAACGATTTCTTATATTTACGCGCACACTACACATTTAAATAAAATCAGTTTTTACGGATTTTATCGCGTATCTTAACATTTTTATATTCCCGACGTTTCGAGCACTTAAAAACAAGTTTAATTTAAAAAAATTTTGAAACCTGTTTTAATTTCCTACTGCCGCCTCTTGCGACACACACGACTATATGGGGATTTAGTGGATATTCTTACACCGTTACGACACGGTTAGCTTCTTCTTTTTAACTTCTTACTTTCTTGCATAAAATATGAATCGTATTAAACACGAAACACCTTCTTCAAGAAACTTTTAAATAATGAATCACTAGGTAAATTAAAATCTATGACGTAATTTTAAAGTTTGAGCCCAATATACAGACAGACATTGTAAGCGGATTTGTCTAAGTGGTTTAAGTTATAAAATTTTAACAGTTGTCTGTATTTTTTAAGCAAAGTAAAAGGAGCATATATTTATAACCCCTACGCAGAAGCTTTGCCGAGACGTCATGACGTCACGTGTCGATTGATAGTACGGTAGACAAATTCAAATCATAAAATTTATTATAAGTTAAGTGTAATTAATAGGAAACGTTGGAGTTGTTACATAGATTTAATATTATGTATTATAATATTGGGTCCTTCTATATGAAATTAGCGTTTTGTCGTACTGACCAAATTCAAATTTATAAATTATCTAGCTGGTACATTTGAGTTTTGAAAACAGTCATTCATTTGTTTTTTCCTCATAATTTTTTTCTTTGGCGTCGCTTATTACCGCACAAAGGAAAACATGGAATATCGTTATATTTACGAGTACGAGTTTTACCGTTGCACCAATGCTGCAGAAACAGCTCGAAGAATTAATGATATATACGGCGCTGGTGTCGCAAAAGAAAGCACGGTACGTTTTTGGTTTTGGTCCAAACCGCCTTCAAAGAGTTTATTGATTCTCGCCCCCATGGTTTTTTTAGTAAAGAGATCAATGAACTACCTATGAGACGGCAAAAGTGCATAGATAACAACGGTGCATACTTTGATTAAAAAAATATATTTTACAAAAAAAAAATGACTTTATATTCCTCCCGTACAAAACGCCAGTTTCATATGTAAGGATCTATTATAATAAAATAACAGAATAAAGGAGGCGTGAGGGGTAGTCATCGGCTAAGTTGCTGCACGCGGCTAATAATTGTTGAAAACAACGTTCGCGGCTTACAAAACAAAAAACAAGTCTTCTCGTCCGCTAGGAGTTCTTTAGAATTGACTACAGTATACATAGAAATCTTTGGTTAAACACACTAGACCAACGAGGCAGTCTGGATAGCGATGGGTTGTAGAAGCCAGTGGCGAATATTTGCTCGTTTGTTATATTAATATTATAGTAAAACATTGAGTTGTTGATGACGGCGACCTTGATAATAGACTATAGACTGTAGTGTTTAAGTAATCTTTTTAATATATCGTCAATGAGTTTTACGCTAAAAAGTGAAAAGTGTTTCTTAGTTTCAAATATCATTGATTCCTATACTTACATACTGAGTTATAAACTTTTATATTATTTTGCCACCTAGATGGAATTGCTATGTATATTTTTAAATATAAACCAAATACACAACGAGGTTCATTAGGAGAATACCTGTCTTGCAAGAAATTCGAAGGTTTTAATTTTTTTTAAAGATGACTGTTATGTCGGTCAACAACTGCAGCTTGAAATGTTATACGAAATATTGACAAAATAATCATTCCGTATCCGCCGGCTTCACCTCTGTATAACTGGGCAGTTTTAGTAATTTTATAAAGTTCATACCTATCTCCTTTTTATAATAATTAATTTATTAAAGAAAACTCAAACAAAGGAACATGGCAGCATAACAGATATAGATACTGTATTTAACGCCATGCGGATTTTCTTCATCATCATCATTAGAATTACAGCCCTTCACAGCCCCATTGCTAAACATAGACCTCACTCAAGGAATGCCACAAAGCACGTTCTTGAACCACCTGTATCAATCGGTTTCCTGCATCTCTTACCAGGTCGGAGGGAGGGAGGGGGGCGCCCTACATTACGCTTACTGGTACGCGGCTGCCACTCGAGGGTCGTATTTCGAGCTATATGGCCAGCCTATAGCTACATTGGCTTATTGCTCCATTGGGCTGTGTCGATTACGATGATTCTACAGCACAAGCTCCACGTCATAGGCGTACATTACGCGCTCATGCAGGCGTCAATCAATTCCATCAATCATGATTGATAAAAAACGGGCCTGCATGGGCGTGTAATATACGCCTTAGATTCATATGTCATTAGTCTCTTAATTTCTTCTAATTTAAAGAGGATTCAAATAATATTTGTTATCTGAGGTTTTATAATGTCGACGACGTTTGTTTGAAGTCTATATCCGTCAAAATTCAATTAACAGTGTTTCACAGAAATAATCATTACACATATTCATTTCACCAAAAAAATACCGCAGTCTAAAATGTTTTAAATAATAATACCACAACAAATTCCCTTTCTTAAAATTTTAGATTCTTTAAGATGTTCCAGCAAATATGCATGAGACTAATCCGCAGCCACTGGATAGTTACACCAAACGCAAAATACAAAAACTATGTCATGTCTGATGTCTTAGCTCAAATAGAACGCGAATGTGAGAAATTTTGTGCGGTGCCGCGTGTTTCTCCACAAAAGGCTAGTGTCTTATAACTATTTGCATGTGGTAGAGCTATGCTGCAGCAACATTATGGCTGCAGCATGAATGCGTTGGCTAGATCGGGCTAGGACTACGCTCTCACAGAGTATCAGCGTCTAACAGTATAACAATGCTGTGTTTCGTATGGTGAGTGTGGACAACCGGAGATCCTTTAACTTGTAACTAGGTATTCTTAGTCCTCTGGGGTGACAAGGCATCGGCATTTTGATATTCAATGGAGAATAGATGAAGATGTCTAGGGACCGCAGCATCTACTTACTATATGGTGGACTGTGCGCTCACTGGTCACCCTTATTCTATAAAAAAATTGAACATTATGATATATAGATCCATGGTAGCTGAGTGTTCATTAATAAACGCGAGCATCCTAGGTTCAATCTTCGTCGGCACCAATTATTTATTGCAATTTTAAGAACTAATTTATACGGTAGCCGGCGGTGAAGGAAAACGTAACGAAAACGTGCAGCTTATGTCTGAGAAATTATTTTAAAGACATGTAAAGTCCGTCAACACGCGTTGAGCAGCACGGCGGATATATTGCTGTGCCCCAAAAACCATCTCAAAAACTGGGGTCAAGGATGTGTATAGAAGTAATTTAGCTTTTATTTGTTGTATTGATTATGATTTGATAAAAAATTTCTTTCTTTTTTAAATTTTATAACATTCTGCTAAATATATCTGCCATAATACTTGTGCCATAATAAGTCTGACCGACTTAAACCGTAAAAGAGACTTGAAACACTAGGATTTTTACCCATAAATCAAGTTAAGCATTATTGTCTTGTGTATTGTGATTACAATACTGATGTTTTCACATTGTTGATGTTGCATACATTCGTATTTTTCATCTTGCGTTTCATGAGCAAATAATCTTCATCTTATATAATAGAAGAAAAGAGTATATTCTACTCACCACATTTCAAATAAAGGCTTCTTAATGTGCTATGTTTATTAGATACACGTATCAGGTAACTACTGTTAGAAGGCTCGACGTTCTGTAGATTCCGTATCTTGTATATATCTCTGTATCTACCTGTCTAGACATATCTGCCTGTCTAGACAGTGTAGGTGTTAGGTTTCCATGAGCTGCAGTAGCTATTCTTAACGCCTGGACTTGTTACTTCTCAGTCTATTATATTATAAAAACAAAACGCCGATACGACGTACTTCCACAATATTTTTTATACATAAAATTTAATGCTTACTGAAAGTAATTTCGTTTAGGTAACAATAATGGGAGCAGGCAGTGACATTGGTCGCGTCACAGCTCTATTTTTGAAGCAGCAGAAAGTGATCAAAACGTTAACTCTATATGATGAGCCGGAAGGATGTGTACTGGGAGTCGCTAGTGATGTAGCTCATATAGACACCAGCACCGAAGTGGAGGCGTACCAAGGCCGTCTATATCTAAAACATGCTCTTCACGTAAAGCCAATTCCTAATTTTATTTTATGAGCGCGTTTTTGAAATTAGTCTAGAGAAGGACAAAACTAAATTCATGTTTATGCGCTGCTTACTACTTACTGTTGCATCCTACTAAAAGTTCCCTGCTGAACATAAGTCTCCTCTGTATATATATTTTTAATAGCATTGGGTGACAAACGAGCACACAGTCCACCTGATGGTAAGTGGTTGCCGTGGCCCATAGATATTTACATCTATCCCATTCGTGTTACAACTATACTACCAATATAACTGCAGCGTGACTCTACCACGTATAAAAACTGTATATTACCTCATAGGCGGAATAGTTGCCATAGTTGCCACGCTTGGCAAACGGGTTGTTAAGCGCAGTTTTTTATTAATTTGAGTTGTTATCAGGAAGATGCTGCTGCCCATCTCCTGCGTGCCTCCCTCTGTCGCATCTTGCGACATCCACTAGACGATATGGGGTAGTGGATATTCTCACACCGCCACTACACCGTTTGGTTTCTTTTTAGCGTAGATACAAAATTCAACTTCCAGTTTAACCTAATTTATTAATTATGGCCTAACTATCATTATCGCTACATCCCATCTGAAGTCCACTGCTGAACATAGGCCTCCCCCATAGATTAATATAAAGTACGGTCCTGAGTCACCTGCACCCATCGACTGCCTGCATGTTTCATCAAGTCTTCACTCCGTCTAGTGGGGGTGCGCCCAACACTGCTTATGTTAGTACGAGGCTCTCGCTTGATAACTTTAGTTGCTCATCGGTTAGTTAGGAATGGGTAATAATCCATTCCTAACTAACTAAAAATATTACTAACTATAAATATTTTTTCTGGTTATTGACTTTCTTAGGATGCAGATGTGGTGTTAATTTGTGGCGGTTACTGCGCAATGCCGCCATGTTGCAATATTTTAGACCGAGATTTATTTTTCAAAAACATGGAGCGAGTGCGCATAGCGTGCATCGCATGTGCACGCTTCTGCCCGCATGCGGTACTTGCAATACAGACGCCCCCCCGTTGACTGCAACTTTTCACTCTGCGTGAATGTATGTATACTTTTCAAATTATGCAATTTTTAATATCTCCTTTTTATCAGCTTTTAACAGTCTACTGAACATGTTTCTTTTTTTTTACGATAAGGGTGACAAACGAGCACACAGTCCACCAGATGGTAAGTGGTTGCTGTGGTCCATAGATATCTACATCTATCCTCGATTACGAATCAAGATACGTTGTTACCCGGGAGGACTAAAATGGAACGCCTCATTTCCAGTGAAAAGGGTCTCCGGTTCTCTACACTCTCCATACGAAACACAGCAGCATTAAGCTGGTATTCTGCGAGAGCGTGGTTTTTCCCGGTCGAGCCGACCCATTCGTGCTACAACTATAATATATCACGTAAAAATACCTCTGCCATTATAAGAAGAATTTTCCATAAGCACTACGCTCGGCTTTTTTCATTGAAGCTGCTCAAGGGAAAGTCTCAAAAATATATTTTAATAAACAGTTTGAGAAAGCTGACTTTTAGGAACTAAAAACAGTGAAATAATTTCACATTCTGTAGTCGGTGCTAATGTAGTAGAAATAAAGCCATGACTTCATAATGTGAAATTATTTTATACTTTTTAGTTCTCTGAATTCAGCTTTTATTTTTCATTGTAAGTTATTTTCTTACTTTTGTGAGTGAATTGTGGAATATCTCAATCTTAATACAATCTAAATAGTTACATTAAAAGCCTCACCCCCAGATTTTTTTTTCAAATTTATATTTTTTATAGGATAATAGTGACAAACAAGCACACAATCATCGTAAGTGGTAAGCACAGACATCTACATGTATGCTCGATTACGCATCAAAATGCAGATGCGTTGTCACCCGTGAGGACTATAAGATGGAATGCCTCGTTTCCAGTAAAAGAGGATCTGCGGATCTACGCTCACCATACGAATTATACCACGTACAAAATTACCACGTATAAATTCCCAATACTTTGCCATTTCAGATACGTAGAAAAACTCTTTTTTATCTTTTTTTCTTTTCGTCGGCTCTGGCATATAAATTTAAGTCCGGTTGATCTGGTCATTTCCGATGTTTTTGTGATTTCTGTATTGCTAGTATTAAAACAGCGTCTTCTCTTATGGACTCAATTTTACCGACAGTGTTCCTTTGAGCACAGTGAAGGACCACTTTTTAGTTACATAAGTCATCACTGGTAGCACGCATTGGTGATACAGTCTCGTTTTCAGATTTTGAGGTATAGCTGACGAGAAGATGTGTCGTAATTTCCTGAACGCTGCCCATCCGAGTTGAATCCGTCGACCTCTCGGCCGAAGTTGAATTTACCTAGTCGGACTATTTGTCCCAGGTAAACATACTCGTCAACAACTTCGAGCTTAGTGCTCCCAACAACTACCGGTATAGGTGTGACAAGGACGTTATACATGATATTTGTTTTGTCCATGTTCATCTTAAGACCTATCCATTGGGATGGGTAATATGGTATTATTAAGGTCATTGAGCATAGTGCTTAGGTCCTCCAGCGATTCTGCTATAAGGACTAATTCCATCTTCGCCCAGTAACTTGCCATTTTTAAGGTGCTGGAGAGCCATTCTAATCTCGTTCAGACTGACATCCGGGATATCATCGGAGTAGTGTCGGATAAGACTTGCTCTTGGATCGTTACTCACACTTGCGTATGGTTCCAACAATGATGCTTAGAGCTGCCCATAGAACCTCTCAATCTCACTGAATATCTCAAGTGTCCCGGAAACGACGCTGCCGCACTCGGTCTTCAGCTTCGACAGTTGGCTCTTTCTGGCAGACAGATCTCTGGCAAAGACTTTGGAGCCCTGGTTTCGCTCAATCTTATGACTTTTCTTCTGTTGTTTTTGCACGAGCTTTATTTATGTATTGTGTTTTTTACTTAAATTAGTACGTTTTGCCATAATAGACGAAAACCACGATCTTGCAGGACAATTATTTATGAACGTAGTTTCGAGGTTACCCGCGGTCAGAATTTTTTAATGTAGTCTAGTAAATCGTCCTTGTTTATTGGAAAACCGGCTCGTGAACGCTCTTTAATCCAAATGACTAAAGATTTTCAGTATCATTTCCAAGAACGGCCTGTGGTCCAAAATGGCTGATGTTTCTGGTGCACGTCCTGAAATTTTGTGATGCAACGTGGAACGTGATACTTGGTTAGTTCCACCAGCAGTAGCTTTCAAGTTCAAAGTTAAAGTTTGGAAGACGTATACGCAAAAGCTTTCCTTGACATTGTCAGTTGTTTTTATTAGTTGGTGCCTATTTAGCAACCTAAGTAAAAAAATACTTGTAAAACTAAACCAGTTAGTAATTGTTAGACGGCATAAACCAAAAAGGGAACAAAGTGGCCGGAACTGATATCGTATTGGAGTCAGTTGTGGCCACAAGCATGGCTAAAACCCAAGCAGAGTACTAAATTAGTGTATTAGTTTTGACCACCTCATCTTCCAGCACTAGGAATTCAACGACTACCGAAATAACCTTAATAGCAACCTCCTAGACATTCACTTAATATATATATGTTTCAATCAAATCCAATATATAAAATAATAGGATATCTAAGATTTATCTATTACTAACCTAGTTTCGCTTATGTGTTTTCTCAACAATGCAGGAAACTTTCCTTTTTACTTCACAACTTCACAACAAAGTATCTAGAAACTTACCGTGCCTTAACTGTTACTTGTCAGAACACACCAAAGACAAATGATTTTTCACCACGGTTTATAAAGCAAGTCTGTTTTCTATGTTTTATTTATTGACTTCAAGGGTTGCTAATGGCCCCGGTTCTGGCCAAAACCGGGGCTTATGCGCTAGTTCTGTCGCATCTTACGATATCCACAGAATGATTGAAGTAGTGGCTATTATTACACCGCTACCACACGGTCTATGTCATGAGTATCAACTGTTATATATGCTCAAAAATAATTGATTGAATCCACAGTTTTCTCATTTATTTATTATAAATTATCTGTATGTTTTCGTTGTTATTCTAATATAAGGTAAACATACGATTTCAAGAAGACCTAGAAACCGTGAACATAATATACCTACTACAAATTTCGACTGTATCAATATGTTAACTGAACCATTCATTACAACGTTGTTACGTCGTAGAGCCACGATGCAACTATATTATAGTTGTAGCACGAATGGGTCGGCTCGGGGTAGGACCACGTTCTAACACAATACCAGCGTAAAGTAGCAGCTCATGTTGTTTGTTCTCAATGCTGGTGTTTCATATGGTGAGTGTAAAGAACCGAATACCCTATTTAATGGAAACGAGGCATTCCATCTTAGTCCTCAGTGATGACAAAGCATTTGCATTTTGATTTTTAATCGCGTATAAATGTAAATGGGCCACAACATCCAATTTCCGAATTCTACATATATAAAAAAAAAGTTTTCCCAAAATTTCAATGTCTATGATAAATATTCCTGAATTCTTGATAACTTCGTAAGCGCAGTCTTGAGAGACCTTCTTAGGTTGACTCTGTGTGGAAGGTAGTATTTAATTTGATATAAAAGTTCCTTAATATCGAACAATGAAGGCTTAAACAAAAGAAAACGATTATAATCATACATAGATATTATATAAAGTATTACGAACCTTATACTTCTTTACGAACCTTATACTTCTTTGACTATAATCATAATCCTTGATTCCTTATTAAAGATATTAATTATTTAGCTGAGATTCAGAGCTAAAATAAAACGGAGTGTATTACATAAGTTTTAAGAGCTAGACTAGATTTCAGTTACTCAATTTTTACACCTTTGACATAATGATAGTTTACGAGTATGAAATAAAATCGGATTTTCAATTACCTTTTCAATACTATTCAGACTCTTAAGCTCATTGGGACATATGATAAACGACGCTTATTGGGCGTGAACGCCATCAGCTCCATGCGCGCCAATCAGCTGTTCTGTTCTCTCACTGGCAAAGACCCCAGTACTTCCCACATGCCAGTGATCTGTGGTACCGGCAGGTGTACAAGAGTGCCCGTGTTCTCGATGGGTAAAGCAGGAAACTTCCCTCAGGTAACTTTTACAATATATTTTGTTGTAATAATGATGTTATAAGTTTGATATGTGTGTCTGTCTGTTACTCCGTAGCTTTAAAACGAGTGAACCGATTTGGGTGCGGTTTTTTTTATTTAAGGCAGGTTTTCTGGCGTTTGTTCTTAGAGATGTTTTATCAACATCGATTCAGCCGTTTGAAGATCATCAGCCTTTTTTTTTCGGGGCATTTTAAAATTTTCCATTTTAGTTATTTTCCTATAGTCAGTGAACATGTAAGGGAGCGACTAGAATTTTTTATTATATGTTAGCTGATGCTGGCGCATTGCTACCACAGAAGAAATAGTTGTGAAAATATCGTTTAAAATTTGGAAGCGTTATATTGTTTACTTAGGAATGATATTACATTCATTGAAATTAAATGATATATAAGTAGTACCCCCTACTGTAAGTTAATTGTACTACTTCGCGCAAGTGTAAAAAATAAGTTGACAAAGCCTTACCGCAATATGACGAACGATATGAGAGCGCATAAAATACGAACAAACAAACATAATTTTTTATATATTAGATAAGTTAGGGTTGCGATATATTTTTTTATCAAAGGAATATCTCAATTTTACTATTTTTAATCATAAGCAATACGAGTGAAGTCACCCACGTTATTTCTTATTACAAACAATTTTGGTTTCACATGTTGTGCCGTAAATATTTTTTAATGAGAGATTTATTTCTTTTCCTCTTGCATCAAATATATTTAATCAGAGATTATTTTTGTTTATTGTAAGATGTGAATTAGAAAATTACTAAATATTTCATTTGTATTTCATTTACATCCGTTACCATTACAGCCTGTCAAAAGTCCAATGCTGAAAATATGCCTCCCCGTAGATTGCCTTTGTATGTGCTACGAAACATTTATCTTGGAATTTTTTTTTGGTATAGTTGTCACGATTGGCAGGCGGTTTGGCAACCGCAGTTTTTTATTTTTTCAACCGACTTAAAAAAAGGAGGAGGTTCTCAATTCGACCGTATTTTTACTTGTGTTACCTCAGAACTTTTTTCTAGGTGAACTAATTTTGATGATTTTTTTTTATTTGAAAGCTTCTTATGTGGTCTCATATAAATTTGATCAAGATTTAATGCGTATTTAATTGACTTCGAATACATTGGTGATGTTCTCATTTTCATCTCAAGAAGATGCTTCCGCCTACTTTCTGGTTTAGTTTTCCTCTTCATCACTTACGCATCTTATGAAAAATATTCTTGCATGTGTCAAAGTATGGAGAGACTTATGTTTAGCAGTTGACTTTTGATAGCCTGTAATGATGAAACAAAAAAGAATAAAGAAGAAGTAGGAGATGCAACAACAAGAATGTGCGAACTTTGTTACTAACCTGACATGTCTTAAAAGGCGACATCAAACCACCTATCTCTTCTTTCACAATTTACAATCTAAACCCATAACCTTTTTGAGTTAACGTGGTCCGAGTAACTTGCTGCGCTTTGGACTCTACCTACCCCGTCGAGGATTACAGACGTGAGGTTATGTATGTATACTTTCACGTATCGATATCAATTCAGACAGTCCACAAATTAATTACGTCGTTGACAACATCTGCGTCCATTGTATTTGTACCGTATATCAGCGCTAAATCTTGATAGGGCGATTGATGACTGCTTCTCATTCGAATTACCTCCTTGCAGACATTACGTAATATCCGGTTTGTTGTCAAATAATATTTAATAAATTATAATTGCCATAGAAATATAAAATCATTAAAAAAACGGTCAAGTTACTGTAATTCACTTTTGCAACCTACACAAGGTTTATATAGCAAGCAAAATCATGACAACGATGTTAGAAAAGGCCAAACTTTTCTTCGACACTTTCATTCATTTTTCAAGGACGTAGTATTAAGTAATGGATGTATAAATAGATCTAACTGATATTACGAAGTTGCAGTCCCTAACAGTTAAAATTTACTATGTTTTTTTCCCGTCTTCATAATCCATAATAATCCGTTGTTGAACGAGCGCGCCACAGTCTGACGAATCTATAGTTTTTTAAAATAAACCTGATACGTTACTTTTTGAACATTTTAAAAACTATTGGCAACGGTAAACGGTAACTAACCGACAGAGAATCATGAAAATTGTTATTGACTCATTATAGGTTTGTGGCGCTCTTTAAACTACATAGTAAGCACTGTCATTTATACATGTCTTTACATACGAAAATCGTTTGTCTTCTTTAATGGAATTAAATTTCGTGAAATAATATTTGAGTATATTAAGTCTATTTACCCACGGCTTTCATGCTTTTAAAATTTAAGTATGATATCGTATTGTCTATCTCTTTATAAGATCTCATTGGGAGTTTAAGATGGTAAATTTGTTTCTGTCTAAAAGCAGAAATAAAATATTAATCAACAGTTTTGCAACTTTCGTGGTCGAAAATAATATACAGAAGTCGAAATACTTGGAAGTAAAAGTATCTAAAGTAAAGGAAACTTTTTTAATAAAAATATTTTAGGGGCTGCTTTGCAAAGTTTGTTCAAAATTATACGCATCGTAATAATAATACTTTTGCATTTTTTAAGACTCAAGTAGAGTGCCTGACAAAGTTGGTACGAGAAGCTGAGGAGATTATTTGTAAGGTCAAGGGTGACGGAAAACAAGGGCATCTATCTATCGGTTTTTCTACTGCCAGATTTGTAATTAATATTATGAAAGGTAAATTTGAGTTTCCTTTTATTTCTATTAAGCGTGTTGTATTTTACACCGTATTATTAAAATAGTGTATCTTTATATTTCATAAAATTTTTCTTACATGATTTTTTTATGGAAGTGGCGGTAAATGAGCTTACGGTTCACACGGTTGTAAGTGATCACCGTCGCCCATAAACATCTACAGCACCAAGGAATTGAAGGTGTGTTAGTGGCCTTTTAGAAAGGAGTAGGCTCTTTTCTTGGTTGAAAGTCCCTAAGTTTTATCGGTCCGGGAAAGTGAACCGCTAGTGAACGGAAATTTCGCAATGTCGCAATGTCGAGCTCATTTGCGAAGCTGATAATTGGCGGAACACTTTCGAGATGATGAAGATAGAATTTTAAGTTTTGTACTGTTAGTGTATGGTAGCGGCGCAAAGATTCCTTACAGTTGGATTTTGTAAGTCCAACTGTAAGGAACGGTCAACTAAGGAAAAAATTCTTAAAATCAATAAAGGACAAACTTTTCTTTTACGTTCACTTACTTTAACAGAGAAAATCCTTTTAAATAGGTTTTCTTTAAATATGAAAGAGTTTGCCCTATTGCCCCACCATTAGTTTACTAATATTTCGCTGTATCTTGAATTTAGTACATTACAAAAATACCACAACAATATATTTTATTTACATTATAAAAGCCGAAAAGAAATAGAATGAACATATGTAATCATTCATTCGTGGGAGCCCATCGAAAGTCTATACAGCTGGACATACATCTCTCTCAGTTGGCTTATATTTGATTTTTTTATAGAATATATTGCTGCCCATCTCCTGTTTTAACCTCTCTTGTCTCTCACGACACCCACGGTATGATGTGGTGAACGGGATTCCCTTACTTCGCCACTACACAGTATTAACGACTATTGAAAGTGAACATGGCTAACATATAACTCTAAAGAATTGCAACGCAAAACAAAGCGACCAGTACCATAATGTCCCTAATTAGCTGCCTCTTAGTCTAGTGGTTGTAAAAGCGACTGCTAATGAAAACTTATGTTCCGGGTTCGAAGTCCGGGTCGGGCTAAAATATCAGTTATTGAGATTCTCCGTCAAAAAAGTGTCAGTATGTAAAGCATGTAAGGCCGTCGGTCCTGCGCCTGATTTCTCTCCGGTCGTGTCAGCCTACCGTCCCATCGGACTTTGAGAGTAAGGAAGTAAAGAGTGTGTCTGTGCTGGCACATACACTTGGGCACTATATTTCTGCCCTGCGCCGATGGCTAGTCTCTATTGAAGCTGGCCGCCGTTCGGTGCTGAGAAAATTATTATTAATGTCTCTTATTATTTATATCCCTAATGATTTTATATTATGAAGGTCTTTTCGAGAAGCCAACCTTCATCGACAGTGCTTTAGTAGAACAAGAAGACCCTAAAAAGTGCTACGACATGCCTATTTGCGCTACACCTATCACGATCGGTAAAGGAGGCATCGTTCAATATGAAGTTCCTACGCTCAACGAGACAGAGACGAGACTTTTGGAAAAAAGCAAGTACGTGATTTAAATTAGAAGTTTATAAGTGGCGATTTTTTCTTTTATTCCGGATATATGGGAGATTGCCTAAAGTCTACCTGTCACATTCTCCCCTTTACTCTATTTTATATTATTGGGCCCCGCAGTTGTTGTTGATGCAACCCTACAATGTTGTTAGTATCTATTGAGACGTGGTTAAGAGCAATACGCATACTTTATTAAAATGAGTATTTTTTTTAAGTATTTGGTGACGAACGAGCGCACAGTTTCCCTGATGGTAAGTGGATGCTGTGGCCCATAGAGATCCACATCTATCCTTGATTAATAATCAAAATTCAAATGTGTTGTCACTTCTGAGGAATAAAATAGAATGCCTCGATTCCAGTAAAATGGGTCTCTGGTTCTCTACACTCACCATACGAAATACAGCAGCTTTACGATGTTATTTTACACTGGTATTCTGTGAGAGCGTGGTCCTGCTCCAGTCGAGCCGACCTATTCGTGCTACAACTATAATATAACTGCGTATAACGTAACAGAGTATCCTTAAAAGTAAGAAAAATCGGGTGATTTTATTTTAGATGTAAAAACAGAAGGAAAATTTTGGAAGCAAAGAGTATCTATACAAAAATATCTTATTTTAACATTTTTAATAAAGTTTTCAGATTATTACTATTATCTCAGAATTATTGACAATTTCGTCAATTATTACACTCTATACGATTTTCGCACATTTTTCTAGTCCATCAAACACAGTTATGACAGTAGATAAGGTTATGAGGTCGGAGAATCCAATGGATTCAACAAGAAAAGTAGCGGTAATTTTGAACTGTAACGAGATATACTAATATTACTAATAATGTTTTTTTTTTAAATATAGGATAGGGTGTCAAACGAGCACACAGTCTACCTGATGGTAAGTGATTGCTGTGGTCCATAGACATCTACATCTATTCGATTACGAATCAAAATGCAAATGCGTTGTAAGCCGTGAGGACTTAGATGGAATTCCTCATTTTCAGTAAAAAGGGTATCCGGTTCTCTACACTCACCATACGAAACACAGCAGCATTAAGTTACTATTTGACGCAGGTATTCTGTGAGAGCGTGGTCCTTCCCCGGTCGAGCCGACCCATTCGTGCTACTACTGATATAATTACCACGTGTAAAATAAACTATTATAAATATATGTTATAAATTTCCTTATCCTACATTCCTCACAAAATCACAACTCATTAATTTCTCACCAAAGATTCTAATCTTATTATAATCAGATAGCACACAGTCGAAGCTCGCTTTTATTGGAAGCTTCAAACAGATTTATTATTGAAGCCGGCTCTGAAGTGACTGCTTAGACAGCTATTTCAATCAAAGAAATAAACATTTTTTCGATTTTAATAAATATCTCTTTAAAATGATCGACTCAATAACCGGGAACAACTTTTTTAACTAATCCACAACCCCACCTGGTGGTAAGTAGTGATGTAGCTCTAGGTGGTCAATAGCGCTGTCTTAGCGTAACAAAAGCCTATACTAACATGTATAATAACTAAAGTTGTTCAAAACGGCTATAAATCAATAGCACGTTACAAACTATAAACTATAAATTTCTAGCGCGCTATTAAATACGCTTATTTGTAGCACGCTATTTATAAGAAAACGTGTAAGGAGGCCGCAAGCGCGTTAAATTTAGCAGCACGCTATATCTCGTAGCACGCTACATTACATGTCGTTCGTTGGATAGACCGCGTGCTATATAAGAACTAAAACATTATTTCGTAACAAGTCGCATTTTAGACTAAAATGAAATAAAGCGGTAAAGAAAATCCAATGAACGCTCTTTCATACTTTTCAGGCTTATGACTTTTTTTATAGGATAGGGTGACAGAAGAGCACATAGTCCACCTGATGGTAAGTGGTTGCTGCGGCCCGTAGACATCTACATCTATCCTCGATTACGAATCAAAATGCAGATGCGTTGTCACCCGTGAGGACTAAGATGGAATGCCTCGTTTCCAGTAAAAAGGGTCTCCGGTTCTCTACACTCACCATACGAAATACAGCAGCATTAAACTACTATTTCACGCTGGTATTCTGTGAGAGCGTGGTCCTTCCCCGGTCGAGCCGACCCATTCGTGTTACAACTATACGACTAATATAACTGCAGCATGGCTCTACCACGTATAAAACTTTCTATAATCCTAAAAATATTTTTAAGGTATGTACTTTTTAAAACAAAATAAAATTAACTAAGTTTTTATTATAATCGATGTAAACATTATTTTAACCTTAAAATAAATTATAAATCAATTAAAGGTGAATTTAAAAGTTTATTGATTGTATACATAAAAATCAACTATTTACAAACACTATTATATACACCTTTTGTATCTATATTTTATTTACATTAAAAAAAACATTAGTTAGGCTTCTTTTGTAGCAAACAACTGTACTTCGATTACTTATAAATATACAGTATACACTAACTAAACAACGTCTAGCACTAAATAAGGTCATGTGCGATGAATAGTGTGCTACTAGATCAAATTTGCGTCACACGTACTGTCCCAACAGCGCTGCTGCTAGAACTAGTTGTCGCTAGATATTAATACTTAATAGCGCCAAAGCGCCATAGCCCCATGGCGACTACTTACATAGCACGCGCTATGCACTATGGAGAGACAGCGCGCTATAATATGGCGCTATACGCTATATTAACCACCATTAATAATAACGCTTCGTTACTTCTCTGTTTGAGTTGTATACTGCGTGTGCTTTTCTATTCTATTATAGTATACTTGATGTGTTCAACGCTTCTATACACACTTTGTACTTATTTAACATTATTATTTTTGATAGGACGTTGTCAAGTGCTTTAAAAATTTCGAATCGGTGTCAATAATATTTTTATTTATTTTACTCCATATTTATTGGTGTTCATTAATTACAAATTCTACCATAAACTATGATGTTCCACTTCTGCCGGGCATCCCGTCACAACAAAATTTTTTTTTCATTATTTTTTCCCTGCGTAATTTCAAAATTATAACTAGTTTAGGCAACATCCCATTTGTTAACCAAACTTATTTAGGCAAAATGCAGATGCGTTGTCGCATCTGCATTTTGCCTGAAGATTATGATCGAATACCTTATATTTAGTCTGTGTGGGCCTGGTCGACCCAATCGTATAGCAGCCACAGACAGAAGAGAACCCCGCTATCACCCATTAAGGGGATATAGTAAGTCAGCTCAAATTTTAATTTCGCCCCCACTTCCCCGCGCATCGTAAGCTCTCTGCCGACATGTTTGTAATCACTAATACCGTAAATAGATAGGTTGTTAGATACTTATTTCGTTAGGTTTATCATATTTATGCCTGTTTCTTAACGCCAACTTAGTCGCTTCTTATTTTTATTACGGTTATTTCCCATTTTAATTTTACGTCGTCCTGTTGCGTAATGTGTATTCTGATCGTAAGCGACACAACTTCTCCCTTCAAAAGCCTAAGCGATACTAACGGGGCGACGACACCGACAGGAATCAAGCTTCAAGACGCCGATAGTTTAGGTAATTTCTTTTTACAGTGAAAATAATGATATTTAAAAAAAAAGTAAATAACATAAGCACTGCTTTATAGTAAGTTCAGTTAGTATGCAAAGTTTCATGATCTTATTTAAAAAAATTTATGAATAACAGCGGTTTATTGTTCAGTTTGGAGGTAACTTTGGATTTTTTTTCTATCGAGAAAATTTTACGGAATCGTGTTTTTATCTAACATAGTCCTTAACATTAATCCCCATCTTTACCATATATTTATTTCAAAATTAATGCCGCAATACTTTCGGCATAACGGAGGATCTTGCTAAGCCATTTGAGGTTATATTTCCCCTTAACAATCGCCGCTGTACGTACTGTGGCAATAACTAACGAGATGTGTTGATGACACAACATGGGAATTGAATATACATATGTCCTGCAGGACCAGGACCATTTCTGTGCGGAACAAATATTTTTAAGGGCGATCTACCACAGTTAATTGCGTGATTTGCGTATTGTTCTCGTGCAATGTGTGCATTTACAGTAGAACAGCGTTTTATTTAAATAATAAGCTCATGTGTTTATTTCCCAACAGGTGCGATCTCGAAGACATGATTAACCTTGGAAGGTGCTATGCCTTAGGCGAAGAATATTATCCCCACTCGTGCAAAATATGCACCCGCCCCATTCCTTCATGTGATATTTGTACCTCTAAATGTGATGAAAAAAGATTGAAGAACAAGTGACAATAATGTGTAATATGCTCTTTAGAAGTATAATTTAAAAAAGTTATAGGTTGAAAATATAAAAAAATAACAAACAATGTTTTAAAATATGTTAAATTATCAGTTAAAATGTTTTCAGATAAATGCAACGTGATCTTAATAATGTTTATCTTTGCACGCGGCAGTGCAGTGTGATGTTTTGTATCAATGATAAAATCCCTATTTTAAGTCTATTTTGAGTACAAAGTAGTAAATACCTGTACGAAAACTTAAAATGATTTAGAGAAAAACGTTTTATAGATTAAAACGATTGTTAATAAACTACTAATAAAATTATATGCTTCTTTATTGTAGATCTAGTAATATTTATTCATTTATATGGTCCTCCACTGCTGACTATGTATGAGGAAGTTCAAGGTCATTCAGCAAGCTCTAAGGAGGAGTTAGAGAAAATTGAAAGAGTTACACGAATTTTAACATTGAGCCACCTCATTCACTCGTTCACAACCTTACCTATGACTGGCAATACGAATCGTGTTGCGAGTGAGTGATCGAACAACTAGATTAGACATTAAAAATAGTTCAAGTAATTATCGAAATTATGTATTTTGCAGCAAAATATAAATGAGCGAGGTGTCGATACTGAGGAAAACTTTAATGAACAACCTAAATGATTTTTAATAATGGAATACAATACAATAAAATCACATATTTGAGTTTTTAATTAAAAAAAAACCCCAATTTGCGTTTACCTGG